TGCGTTAAAAATTGAACAGTTACAGCATGCTACTATATGAATCTATATATCATCTGAAATCTGAGATTATGGTAGTACATAAGCCATACCAATGTTTATTTAAGGGATTACCTGGTGGCGAGTACTGTTATTGTGATTTTTTTTTACTATTCTGACTAATGAGAACAGTTTTTTAACACTTCCAGTCATACGAATGACCAGTGAATTGCACAGCAAGTTAGTGTATGTTTTAGGCTAGAGGATTGATTCTCTGTTTTCCTTCATCTGCCTTTGTTTCTAGCTACGACCAAATAACTATCGACAATTTGTACTTTAATAAGAGTTTTGCCATATCTAAGCTCACCTTCACTGTTTTGATGAAACAGCATATCAACAACAAATTGTAAATCATCCTTGGCAACACCACTACCTTTACAAGTCATCTGCACAACATCTGCAGAAAAAAACAAAAAAAACATTGAAACTGACTGTGAGGGCAGCAAATCTAACCTGAACTCTGAGAATCAAATCGTTTAAATAGACTTTCACTGGCGATGTGCTTCTATTGGAGAGGCGCTTCTAACAGAGCAAATATGATACTTCAAAATCAGTATTATAAGTTTAGATTGCTGCACAACTCATTGAATTCTAGTTAAACAATATATTGTACATGCATTGTATATGTCGGATTTGTATCATGACAACAATTACTCTTTAATGCTTTTTAATTAATGCTTTTTTAATTAATTGAGTGCCATAATTCTTCTATGTAAAATTGTGGTGCAACATTTTGCTTGTTTGTATGTATTTTCGTTTTTTTTTTTTTTCAATTTTGGACAAAATTTTCTATTGGCTACAAGATTTGATCAAAATTTTGGAAAATATTCTGAAGAAATTATGTGGGTTTTAAAATTGTAAATGGTGACAATTGACATTGGTGCTCAAGGGTTAAAGGGGAAAGGTTGTCATGCGTTGTACATGTTACATTGAACCTGTAATGAACAACCACTATACATGAAAATGCTGTGGGTTATCACCACAATACAGCACTACCGTTAAAGTCCTAATATAAACCTCATACGTAACCGCAACCCCAATTCCGAATTCGGGTTTAAAAGTTCTTAAAAAAACTTGAAAACTTGAAAAGTACCTATTACTAACCACACCCCCAATTCAACAAGACCGTGACTGACTTCATTGTTTCAACCAGTTGGTCCAAAACGGCATTGTTCCTAATCCTATTCATTATTGTTCAGCGGTGATAATTTGTCAAACACGCAGTGCAACTGTTTTTGTTCTGGCGGCAACCTTCGTCAATACGGCCATGACTCAACATAATCCCTTTCTGTTGTATTACATGGTAAATTTAAATGAACAAACAGAGTACAGTCCCTATAACTGCAAGGACATACTGCTTGATGTTACTTACACATTCCCTTGGGACAGGCATAGGCACAGTGATTGAGTTCAATTACACGTACAGGGTTCTTGCCTTGTATGGGTGGAATGGTCAGCAACATTACCTGCAAATAAAAATTTCTAACATCAACACTTGAGACATCTGATTTTAAAAAC